AGAATAACACTAATAATACATCTTACTACGCCATGTCCATTAAAGAGGGGTTATCCCCAGAAATGTAACCATGGAAATTAATATTTCTGGGCTGATTTCGGAACCGTTTAACATTACTCCTCAGTTGCTGCAATCATACTCCGATCTGATTAAAACACAGATCATATTTCGTTTCGTTTTTATAGTTCAAAATTTCATTTTACTTGTCTTTACTACACTAGGATCTGGAAGAATTGTTATAATTGACGTGTTCTGAATTATGTGAGGGGTTAGTCAATGAAACGGTCGGTTACGGCGAGCTTTAGGCGTGTTTTGCACGGAACTGTGGGTAATCCACTAGTAACATCAATGCTGATTGGTTAATCGAATGTCTGACGTCATAGGTCAAAAGCCGCTCGTATGACCTCTGACACGACCCTTCGCTACAACCTGTCAGATCTTCATGTAGTGTAGGCCAGCGAAAGTATAAAAAAAAAACGGAACGAAATATAGATCTGTATTTTAATCAGATTGATCATACTCGGAACATTTTATGGTTTTAATGTTTCTGAACAATATTACCCGAAGATTACACTTTTGTGTGGAATATCTCAGATTATTCCTCGAAAATTCCACTTTACTCTCTCATATCTACATAAAACTGTAGATGTTCGGTTTTTCAATTTATTATATTTAATCTTATTATTATTATATCGTTTATTATTTTCTGTATCCCTGGGAAATAAAAGAATTTATACAGGCTTTGCCTGTTATTCAATCCTTTTTAAATGAATAATAATATATTGTTTAAACTAAACTATATCTCTGATTTTTACCCGAATATCCCACTTTCGGATAAATATCTCGAACTACCCCCCTACCCCCAGAAAATGTTTTCATGAGAAGACTGGATAAAACATACAGCATCTTACAGTACTTCTAAATTTCCTCTCTCGTATCTCAGTCTTTTTCCCGAATATCCCACTTTCGTCTAAATATCGCGAATCATCCCACGAAAATGTTTCCATGAGAAGACTGGGTAAAACGTGCAGAATTTCTCTCTCTCTCTCACTCTTTCTCTCTCTCTCTCACTCTCTCTCTCCCTCACTCTTTCTCTCTCTCCCTCACTCTCTCTCTCAATTACTTCTTTAAACGTATTTCTAAGTTAACATTGTTTGCCATTTCGACCGTTGAGAATCTCTCTCTCTCTCTCCCTCTCTCTCTCTTTCTCTCTCTCTCTCTCTCTCTCTCAATTACTTCTTTAAAAGTATTTCTAAATTAACATTGTTTGCCATTTCTCTCTCAATTACTTTTTAAAAAGAATTTCTAAATTAACATTGTTTGTCATGTCGACCGTTGAGAAGAATACCGACATTCGATCTATGACTTAACCATTGGTTCAGGAATTGTTAATACAAAAAGACGTCATTTGACATTTGGACCGTTATAGAATGTTCACCGATCAAAATTTACAATTTTGATTGACTTGTGTGAAATCTTATGGGAATCATGACAATATTTTTTATGAATAGTTTGCCTAAGAGAAGAAGAAAGCCATTATTGGTGCTAGACTTGTATTGTTCTTTAAACAAGTTAGCCAGTTTATAAATTGATTATGGTTGGCAGTAATTGGTTTCATCTGAATTCTGATTCCAGTAAGACTTCAGTTGAATTGCTTGAAATTTTTAACATAATTGACTACTTTTTAGATATGATATCAGTAGGGCTTCGTGTGTCTGCAACAAACAATTATCTTAAAGAGAAGCAGTACTAGATTATCTGAAATTGTTTTCTTGAAAATGAAATGGGGTTCAACGTTTTACTTTTCTGCACTGACTGGGCTAATGAAGAAATGCTTACGCCATACAGTGTGCTATGAGGGACATTGTGCCCGGACAGCCTACTCTTATATCGAATTCCATCTGTCAAGGGATATTTTATGTGCACGCTAATGTACATATGGGACCTTGGTTTTTCGTTCCATCAGTACAACTAGACAGCTGTCCTTGTCAGGCCCTCCTCCATCCCCTCGGAGAAGCGGAAACCACGCCGGAAAAATCCCGATGAACTTTCTCGGCCAACACCGGAAACGAACCCGCGGCCTCGTTTACTCGGACAAAGACTAGTAATTCTTTTACAAATGCCTTCATTGTTAAATTCGATATTTTAATCTTTTTAAAGCACAACATGGCGTAACCATCCGATATAAATATTGAGGGGTTGGCCATCTCGACATTTTATCTACGCCCTGACAAAGGAATCTATAGACGGTGACGTCATTCATATCCTTTCACTTCAAAATCACAAATATTTACTAAAACCCGATTCTACATGTAGATCAAAATGTCAAAAATTGTCATACAAAAGGCACAAAGTGGAGAAAAGAAAGAAACTACCAATCAAAAAAATGTATGCTGGATGGGAAATGGATTTAAATGGAGTTTTTGATACGTGGAGATTATAGATTTAAAGCTGAACTCCGAATACAAAACTACGGAAATAATTAATTAAAACAACATTTAACGCCCTAAACAGTCGCCAAATATGTTTTCAGTTTGTAGAACAAACATGGCGACTAAAGACGGCTATAAGAAGATAGACAGGCCACGCCCACATCCAAAGTCTACGATATCACCCTTGGTGGAAATGAACGTAAAACTCCAGGAACGCCCACATCCAGTATATGCCTTATTAAGCACAGTGTCCACATCCAGTATATGCATTGTCAAGCACAGTGTCCACATCCAGCTAGCTCTATTTCAACTATTACACTGGTTGAGATTTTTTTCACTGAAAATATTATTGCTACACAATTATTATGTCTGATCAGGTACATATTATTTTACTAATTACATGTAGATGAAATAAGCCAACCACGGTGTACTTTTGCACTAAAAATAAGAGAAAAACTGTATTACCCCAAACAATAACTATGCCAACGCCATTCAGTTCTTCTTATTTCGTGAAATGTTTTGCATAACAACGTAGAAACACCGAATAATTTTCTGCATCATAAAGTCTAGTATTTAAAATGTACCCAAACCAGCAATAAAACTGTTCGTCTCAGTCGAGCGTGCGTGGTAGTTCAAATATAGCTAGCCGGATGTGGATATTGTGCTTGACGAGACATATTATACTGGATGTGGGTGTTGTTGTTGTGGTTTATTACAGATTTAACGTCCAATACAATAAGATATTATGGACAGGTTGATTTAATTAAATTATTTATATCAAAATCAAAAGAAGGTCACCTTAAAACACACTTTTAAAATCTCTGTCTTGAAAATAAAAGGCGGACCATCTTCTCTCTTTGTCATAATAAAAAACAAGTTAAAACTGGAGGTCTAGCTGTGGGCGTGGCCTGCCTGTAAACGTTCGCCATGTTTGTTCAACAAATGGAAAACAAGTATGGCGACTGTTTAGGGCGTTAACTTTTTTTTATTTAATTATGTCTGTGTTTTTTAAGGTTGACACCTAGTGCTGGATTTACCTATAGACTTGACGGGCTGTATTCTGGAGCCTCACAATCTAGGGGTCTCCGATTCCAATTCAGATGAAACTTATTACATATATTAAAGATCACAAGATCTTGCAAGAGTTCAATTTTGATCTGCATCAGACCGCAACTTCGTAGGTTATGGCCCTGGCCTTTTACTCAAAATCTGAATTATGTACAAAATTTGTTTACCCTTCAGATGAAACTTGACATGTGTGTTATAGATCAAAATATATTGGGGGATTTCGATTTGGTCGGCATAAGACCACAACTTCTTAGGTTATGGCCCTTGACTTTTGGGCAAAATGTGAATTGTACAAAGCTTGTGTACCCTCTACAGTCTTCAATTCTTGTCTGATTTATATGAAACTTAAAATATATGTTAAGGATCAGTAAAATAGGACAATTTGGTGTGACTTTATCGCAAAAAAAAAAGACATTTCTAGCCAGAAAATCGCCACCATCGTTGGGCTGATGTGCTTTTTCAAAAGAACAGTCCCCAGGGAGTATTTGTGCCAGTTTTGATACTTGTATCCACATTTGAACGATTTCCCCTGCAATTAGTTGGTGCACAAAGACAGGAAACGAGTCAACGTAACCGTTAAATAAAATCAATAAATAGCCATATAACTAAGAGAAAGGGGATTCAAAGATGGCAGACTAGATTATTCGAGATATTTTCAAAGTTGGTATAAAACCTTCGTGCATTGAATACTTTACAGAAATCAGGAATGAACCAATCGTATCACACAATGTCTGATAAGAGAACGATTTAACAAGCTTGAATTAATTGACATTTATTAGCTGTCTGAATCCATGGCCTTCGTGTAAAGATATAGGAAAATACAAAAGCTTGTGCAAATCGTAGTTAATTCAGTCTCTGTAAATATTCAACGCAGAGTGAATAATTAAAATGTTTAACATTGAATGAAAAGATTTCTTTTATGACATTATGCTCTATTCGGCAGTAAAGTCTCCGGTAATTGTGAACTACCACCGTGCAAATCTAAAAAGTATTTTATTCTGATTGGCTGAAATATCACCAATGGCTGACAATCACCAACGTAAATTAACACCAAAATGTACAGCGGAGTACATAGGACACCCGTATATGCGCCTTTATCTATTGATAATCTGTTTACTTACGGCATGCATTGCGTAAACCCATGACGTGGTCTAGTGCAACGCCACCAGGTCCATGCTATTCGTGGGCTAGAGCTGCCCTTATACCACACATTTTAACCCCGGAGCAACCCGTCAGATGGCACGAAAACCCGAGGTCCCCTATACATATTGGCGTGCAATAAAATATCTCTTGGAACTTGGAGCAGAACAGTAGGACGATAAACCCCATTTCATTTCATTTTTTCTGGGCAGCCCTAGTGTAGTCACCAATGCCGAACAGACAACCATAAGAACAGACAAACGGAAGTCACAAATATGTATAGATTTAAAAACGCAGTAACTAATGTAAAATGTAATTCTACCCTGTAATATTTATAGTTTATTTTTTTTGTCATTTCAGGTCTACCACCTGAACTTTACACAATCTGGGAAGCGTATCCATGGAGATTCGGCGAGATTTTCTGTATATTTCGTCATACTGTGATGGAGATGACGTCTTACGCATCCGTGCTGACGATCACCGCATTTACTGTGGAACGTTATGTCGCCATCTGTCGACCGCTTTTATCTCACAAAATGGCGAGTTTGTCAAGAGCAGTGAAGATCATCATAGCTGTTTGGGTTGTAGCCATTCTAGCAGCCTTACCGTACGCCTTCCATACTCGACAATTTTACGAACTGAAGGACCCAAGCACGGCACTTCCGGTTCCAGAATCCTTAGTTTGTAATATTCCAGAAAAATGGCGACAAGATCCAATGAGTTATATATTTCAGGTAAAGAAAAACAGTTATTAAATTGTTTGACTTAAAGAAATGCATAATTAAAATGAAATGAAGTTTAACGCTTTACTTTGTAGTAACTGGGCAGATGAAGACGGAATATACCAGCGGACATCGCGCTACGGCCCACTTTTATTTCGAAATCTAACTGTTAAACATACATTATGCAAGAGCTAAATCTGTATATTGCAGATCTTTCTTTAGGCCGGAAATGTTATCTAAATTATTAATTAGACATTAATTAACTTATCCAGACCATAATCAACTCTGGTTGTGCAGAACTCTAGATTGGAGACCTTCTAGCATATTGCACGTGACAAGGAGTAGGGTCGCCTGTCCAACCTCGTGGGTTTTCTCCGGGTCCTCCGGTTTCCTCCCACTGCTAAAGACCCCTACGCGCAAGCGAATTATTGAAATAAAATTAAAACCATATGTTAGTCCCGAAATGACCTAGTTTGTGTCGAGTGGACGTTAAACCCCATTTCTCTCTCTCTCTCCTTCTAGCATACATGACGTCATATGTGGATTGTGTATTGGGGTTAAGGCTGCAGATTTTGTCAAGGTCTGGAGATCTAAAGCCTAGATCTAAACCAACCCCCAACCCACAATTCACTTATGACGTCATTTGTACTAGACCACCTTTGATCTAGCGTTCTTCTCATGTAGTTGTTGCCATCGAAAGTATCAACAAAACAAAAAAACGAAACGAAATATAGATCTTTATTTTAATCAGGTTTCACATGACATGACGAGAAAGAAATATAAATATATGATGTTGATATATCCATCTACTAACCGTGAGATATTGCATGTGTTTAATTTACTCATAAATTGTCATTTAATTTGATTTAGCAAATAAATGTTGACCGTATAATAAAATTTTGGATTTGATATCTCTCAGACAGTTTAGACGTTTACATCATTTTTGCCATTATTTTCAGATGTCTCAAAATATTTGTTTTATTGCAGGTGTCAACATTTGTATTTTTCTTGACGCCAGTTACTATTATTATTTGCTTGTATATATTGATCGGACTGGCGTTACGAAGATCGGACCTGACAAGAGCCTTGTCAGAGGAATCGCAGTACGGCAGCCGACACAAAGATAAAAATAAAAATAATTCGTCACACGTTCCAAAACAACCGAGGCGAGTTGTTATGAGAATTCTAGGTAAGTTTCAGAAAAAAAACTTTACGGTATACTTCTTTGAATTTTTGCCAGTCTTGGCGGCTCAGTACCAACGGGGTTGCTCACTAACCAGAACGGACCAGATTCGATCCCGGTGATGACTGAGCACTTTTCTTGGGATATGTCAAAGTAGTTTCCAATTTTCAGAGGTGCTCTGCGTCTATTCACCCGGGCTCCGAATTCACAAAGCATTCTCAAACTTAAGAATTGCTCGAATTTGTTCGCGTTATTGTAACTAAAATAGAGCCCTTTATAAAACGTTTGTTATTTTAATGTATCAAATATATCAATATAAGAAACTATGTGCAAAGTTTTGTGTTTCTGGATCATAAAATTAAGTCTGAGAATGCTATGTGAAACTGGGGCCTGATGGGGACCATACACCGAGGTCACGTTCACCTTGTCCTTGAGTATACCGTTAAACCCCACCCTCTCTCTCATCCCCCCCCCCCCAGTGTCATATGTCTAAAAGACACCCCCCCCCCTCGCTAAACCACTCTGAATCACATCCTTTGATCTCCAGAGCTTATTGGGGGATTGGATAGCCAAATGGTTAGCACGTGCGTGTGCTGTATCATAAGGTCTGCCATTGAGTCAACTGGCGTGGTTTCGATTCCCCAGTTGTACGTGACAAGGATTAGGGTCGCCTGTCCAACCTCGTGGGTTTTCTCCGGATCCTTCGGTTTCCTTCCACTGCTAAAGACCCCACGCGCAAGCGAATTATAGAAATAAAATTGAACCATGTGTTAGTCCCGAAATAACCTAGTTTATGTCGAGTCGACATTAAACCCCATCTCTCTCTCGCTCTCTCTCTCTCTCTCTCTCTCCCAGAGCTAATTGGTCAGACACTTGTTGCTGTAACCTGTCAGTCTGACAAACATAACCACAAGCTTATGTTATCTCTAAACGCCATGAAATTCAAAGCCAGGTTTCTAAAAACGGTCAAACGGCGTCACATGTCGAACATGTTGCTTTGAAGTGACATTCCTTTTATTTACTTTGGGAATTATAGATATGGCCTCTCTTTGATTACAAATTGATCCTTATATCAAAGACGGGAGGGCGCTGTAGATCAGAAATAGGATCTGCGTATGGAAATCAAATTGTTTTATGTCTTACTTTTCTGCACCAGCAAGGCCATTTAAGACTGGTAAAACGCCAACATATTTTCTTGAACACCGGCGCTACGGTCTACGCGTCATCGAATTCCATCTGCCAAAGTTTAGTTTATCGTCCCCATGCGTGCTTTAAGGAACTTTCTCTGTCCATACGCGGTATACGCCAACAGCGTCATCGAGTTCCATCTGCCAAGGTGAATGTGGCCTCGGTTTATCGTCCCCATACTTCCTTTAAGGAACTTTCTCTGTCAACACGCGGGGCTTCCTGCATATGCTAGTGCCTTATGCATTATGCATCCGAACGACTAGACAGCTGTCCTTGTCAGGCCCTTCATCCTGTACCACTGACAAGGGGAAACCATGCACGCCGGATAAAAACCCGATGATCTTTCTCGGCAAACATCGGAAGCGAACCCGCGACCTCCAGGCTAGCGACCCAGCGTCTTACTCAATAAGCCACCATGGCTTCCATTAGTCTAATAATTCGGTGTTTTTGTTGAACTGTACTTTATTTCTGTTCATGCATTGTGATTGCCATATTAGTTATTATTTAAGCTCGATGGGAGATTTTTTATCACCGAATAATGTATTCCACCAATTAATTTTAGTAGTACAGCGATATCTCCTAGGCGATTTCGATTTAACTTATCGTTGCTTGCATTGGTCACTCGGATTGCCTTTTGATCTTTCGATTCGTTTAAGGATAAAATTGGATGATAAATAAAATTTCATGCTCATGTTGTTTGATATATACACCATCCCTCCAGTCGTTGATAAGGTACGTTTACTTCATCGACGAGCTATTTATGTAAACAACAGACATTGTCATACGAAACTTCCGTTGTCTGTCTGCACAATTAGTTTCGCTTGAGAACAGAATCGAAACTGGCAGAGAGGGAGAGTGTGAGAGAGAGAGAGAGAGAGAGAGAGGGGAGAGCAGTGGTGTCAACTCGACACAAACTCGGTCATTTCATGACTAACATATATTTCAAATGTATTTCAAGAATCCGCTAGTGCGTCGGGGTCTTTAGCAGTAGGGGGGAAACTCTCGAAGTTGGACAAACAACCCTACACCTTGTCACGTGCAAGAGGGGAATCGAAACCGAGCAACATTCGACCAGCCACCCCCACCCCCACCCACCTCTTAAGGTAAAGAAAGCAGTACAAGTTGATACACCACACTATCTTTAGCGTTATTAAAGGACGTCTTTCATGACGGAGCTCTTTTCTCTAAGTAGATAGTTCCCCGTGTGCAGAATGTCACGTTGTATTTTGTGAAATATGGATTGTGGTTGTGATGGGGAAGTGGTATCAGATGGTCTAGAAAGCATAAGCATGTTCTGCACGAAGACTTATAGATAAGTTGGTCTTTATAATAATGTTCTGCCTCAAGAGCGACAATCGTAATGACTTTTAGCTAAATTGAGTTTTCTTTTCTATTTTAGTTGCTGTAGCTGTGGCCTTTATAATATGTTGGGCGCCATTTCACGCCCAGAGACTCATGGTGCTGTATGTACCTAAATGGACGGGAGAATTAATGGCGGTACAGAGTCATCTATTTTACATATCAGGTAACTATCTACACTTAGCATACGACAACATTCGGTCATCTTACATTACATTCCGCCCTCTTGTAATATGACAACATTCCGCCATCTTATAATACGACAACATTCCGCCATCTTGTAAGACGACAACATTCCGCCATCTTACAATACGACAATATTCCGCCATTTTATAATACGACAACATTCCGCCATCTTGTAACACGACAACATTCCGCCATCTTGTAACACGACAACATTCCGCCATCTTGTAATACGACAACATTCTACCATTTTCTCGCTATAACGTTCGCTACCCTGGTAATAATAATAATAATAATTATCGTTTTCTATAGCGCTGAACATTCAGTCAGTCTGACTGCTCTGTGGCGCTTTACAATGTAGATATGATTATAAAAAACAAAAACAAGCATACATGTATATACAAATAAACAAAAGAATACAAAGGAATAGTTACAATATACAAATGGAAAGTGAAGCATTTAAATTATTGTTTAAAAGTTTGGGTAAAAAACAGGGTTTTTAAACGTCGTTTAAATATAGCTACGTTTGGACTATTTTGGACTTCCAGAGGCAATTTGTTCCACTCTTTTGGTGCTGCGTACGCAAAAGCTCTCTCACCAAATTTTGACTTCTGTACTGGGCATACAAGTTGGTTTTTATGAGATGAACGTAAGGAACGAGAAGGTACATATTGTTTAATCAAATCGGATAAATAGGATGGTGCCAAAGGATCGTTTAAACAGTTGAAAGTGATTATGTTAATTTTGAAAATGATGCGTTGATTAACCGGTAGCCAATGTAACTGTTTTAGAACAGGTGTAATATGATCAGATGGTTTGGTGAGAGATACAATTCGAGCTGCTTTATTCTGGATTTTTTTGTAGCTGACTTACAAGAGTTTTAGGAAGAGAATACAATAATGAATTACAATAATCTAAAGATGACATAACAAAAGCGTTTATTAACATTTTAGTGGCATCAAGGTCAATATAGACAACATTTTACCATTTTGGCTGTCCCCTTGACTCGATATACCGTTCGCTACCTTGGGTAATGAAATAACATGGGGGTTTCACGTCCTACTGTTCTGCTCCGACCGAGCCAATAAAGACAGAACCGTGTCATCGAATTGTACTCAGGCAGCGGCCCTACGGCCTACACTTATCTCGAATTCAACTTCATTTTCGTGCACGCCAATGTGTACACGGAACGTCGTGTTTTCGTGCCATCCGTACGATTATGGGTTGTCCCTTGACATCTAACTTTCCAGTTCCTCGGTCTTGTATCACTGAAAAGGGGAAAACAATGGTGGAAAATCCCAACGAACAGTAACGGAAGAGTATACTAAGTGTAAATTAATTACGTCATGCTAAATAAATAAACGCGTGAACGTTAATCTTCACTTTTCCTTTATCACCTAAAACAAAGAATGGGATTAGGTTTAGATTCTTTGGGTCAATTTGACACGAACATAATATGGCGATTTTATTTCAGTTCAGTAACCTTTACGACCTCTCGAAATGATATTACAGTCACGCAACCATTCACATCCATCCCTCATAAAACAAAAGCCAAATTGTGACGCCAGTGAGAATCGCGGCTTAGTTTCCATCGTGCTGATTTTGTAGGAAACTGCAGACACTTGCATGATAACACTATGTTATTCTTTTGCTGGGCTATTGACATACGCCATACAATAATGTGCTACGAGGGGAATTTTGCCCACACCACAGTGGTGTTTCCACCTAATCCTCGTGGAATTCTAAATATACTAGAACTATCAAAGAGTTTGTAACGATGTTTTTACGGAATACCTCACGGTGTTTTTAATTAGATATATTCTGATTATTTTGTAGATTTCAGTGTTTTCAGTCTGGGAATGTAATAAACTGTGTTAGTATGTAATGTTATATAGATAACATACGTAACTAATTAATACATTAGCTGGTTGGAGGTCATGGTGGCTAAGTGAGTAAGACGCTTGCTCGCTAGCCTGGAGGTCGTGTGTTCGATCAAAGTTCATTAAGATTTCCCCTTGTCAGTGGTGCAGGAGGGGAGGGCCTGACAAGGACAACTGTCTAGTCGTTCGGATGGGACGAAAAACCGAGGCCCCGTGTATACATTGATGTGCACGTAAAAGGTCCCTTGGCAGATGGAATTCGATATACGAGTAGGAAATAGTGTCCCGCATAACACAGATGACGTATGCCCGTCTTCATTAGCCCAATCGGAGCAGAACAGTAGGACGTTAAATTCGTTCCCTTTCGTTAACTAGCTCTAACATCATATATACTGATAAAACCATGGTGTTAATTTCAATGTTCTCATCATCTACGTGCAAAGAAATACGAAAGCAACAAACAGATTTTTCTTTCTCAGATGCAATTTTGTGTTAAACTTTGACTCAAAAATCAAAATGTCTATTTCGTCAGATTTTGTTATTAGTTTGTTTTATCAAATTTTGTCTTCGTTGAAAATTGTACGTTTATTCGTTCAGCCAGTGTTGATATACAACAGATTTTGTCTTTCACTTTCAACACAGTAAGCTAAACATGAAACTTTTTAAGATAATTAATTACCCTAAATATTCTTTTGAAGATATAGAGAATCTCCTACCAGTCTTTTTTGATATAAAAAAAGACGAGTAGGAGATTTTATTTATCACCCAATCCCTTCTTACATGGACAAATAGATAAATATAATTCTTTGCTGTAGATTTCACTTTTACTGAACATTACGGCGTAGTGATGCATCATTTTTTGACAGCAATTCAACCATTGCAAAGTCCTTTATATTGGACCCAGTGTTTCCATCAAGGTCAATTGAATAACAATAGTTCATTTTTAATTTAAAAAAAAGTTACTTTTAATAAAATGAACCGGTCTTTGAAAATAAAAAAAAGTAGTTCCTTTTCAACTGACCAATCAACTGACTAAGGAGATATCGCGGTAGATTATGAAATATATCACACAAGCGATATCTACTGTAGAATGTATTATTGGGTGATAAAACTATTTACCCAGAATATTCTTTTTAAAATAATTGATTACCCTATATATTCTTTTTAAGATAATAAATTGCTTTAAAGACAGAAAAATATCATAAATTACACAGTGTATTCTATTGCCAAAGGACATGTAAAAACATCTACAATGTATTTTTCTTCGTTTTTGTTAAATATAAAGATAATTGAGTCTGTTTGTATTTTTGATAAAATACGTTCAGTTAACACTCAATGATTAACACGGTTTGTGTCCTAAGGACCATTTGTGAGCAATATTCTAATCCCCAGTAATTGGTGTTCTTATCGTATCGTGAATTTGTCTTTTATTGAACGGTATTTAGAACCGTTAATTAGTTAAAAGTACACCTCTATCGATTTTATATTCTACTTTAATTACAAGGCACAGTTTCATCCATGTTTATAATTCATTGTTTTTAAATGGTTGTTTAAAATTGCCAACTGTAATCAGTTTAAATGGATAACGAACTGAAATGAAATGGAGTTTAACGTCCTACTGTTCTGCTCCGACTGGGCTTACGAAGACGAGCATAAACCGTATAGTGTGCTATGAGCGAAATTTTGCCTGTACTGCGGCGCTACGACTTACTCTTATATCGAATTCCAACTTCTTTTACGTGCACGCCAATGTGTACATGGAGCCTAAGTTTTTCGTCCCTTGCCACGCCCTCTGTCTTGACACACTGACAAGATTGGATGAACAAGAGAAGGGGACATCCAGATGAACTTTCGCGGCCAACACAGGGGTTGAACAGGGGACCTCCAGGTTAGCGACTCCCTTAAACTGATACCATGATTGAGACGACACACCGCAATCCAAACTATTTGAAAACCATACAAATTAATTCTGTGCGATAAAAATCCTAAGTTATGTTAGAAATAGGGATGGTATTTTAGTCCCATCTGAACAATTAGGCATCTTGGACAATTCCGAAGAAATTACTCGGCCAACACCGGAGGCGAATCCGAGACCTGGCGGTGAATGAATCAGTGACTTCCTCACTGAGCCATCGTGACTCCCTCACTGAGCCATCGTGACTCCCTTGCCACTGGGGCGTGGTTTCGCTTGTTAATGATGCTGGACAGGTGATCTGATAAAACCCGGCGGTGAGTGAATCAGTGACTTACTCACTGAGTCATTGTGGCCTTCTTGCCACTGTGGTATGGTTTCATTTGTTTAGGGTGCAAGACAGGCGATCTTACAAGTAAAAACGTCTAGTCGTTTGGATGGGTCGAAAACGAGAACCCGTGTACACATCGAAGTGCATGTAAAAGGAGCCTTGATAGTGGCAATGAATGAGTAAAATGGTGTTTAACGCCCTACTTTTCTGCACTGAACGGGGAAATGGGGACGGGCATACGCTATGCAGTGTGATATCAGGTAAATTTTGACTGGGCAGCATTTTAATTCCAACTTCTAGGGGTTCTTCTACTTCCACGCCAAAGTGTACACAGGACTTCAGTACTTTTCCTCCCATCCGAACGACCGGGCCAGTGAGATCATAAATAATAATGTCTGTTACAATAATCTTTTGTTATTGTAAGATAAGAACAAATTTCACTTTAAAGCCGTTCCCCTGGAGGCGGGTGGGGACGGGGAATGATCGCCTCGTGGGATATCTCTTGTGTACTTCGGTTTCTTCACACTGCTAATTTGTGTCGAATGAACGTTACACCAACAGGTTTGTCATTGAGTCAACTGGCGTGGTTTCGAATCCCCAGTTGTACGTGACAAGGAGTAGGGTCGCCTGTCTAACCTCGTTAGTTTATTCTGGATCATCCGGTTTTCTCCCACTGCTAAAGACCCCTACGCGCAAGCGAATTATAGAAATAAAACTGAACCATGTGTTAGTCCTAGTTTGTGTCGAGTGGACGTTAAACTCCATCTCTCTCTCTCTCTCTCTCTCTCTCTCTCTCTCTCTCTTTAACACAGTAACGATCTACACGTAATTATTATCCCCAATAGCAGATGAAGATCACT